AAATAAATAAATAAATAAATAAATAAATGGTTTTCAGTCCTGCTTTAAATGTTGTATATTGGGGACTGCAGGATGCTTTTGTTACAGGTGTTTTCTTTTTTTCCCCTTTTTTGGGGGGGGGCACAGATCTTATGAATTGCCGTGAACTGCTTGAAGAGATTCAGGTACTGGGCAGTAAAATAATAATAGTAGTAGCCTAATATTAAGACTACGGCAAGCCTTTAGTATAGAATGTGAACCCCTAAGCAGCTGAGCATCTCCCCATATGCAGGCATGATCTTTGAACTGGACAGGACATCGAACACAGAAGCATAGAAGCCGAGCGAGCCGGAAGGGGCCTCCCGGGCCATCTAGTCTGACCCCCGGCTCCAGCCGGCTCCGCTCACGACATGCCCACCATGTGCATGTCCAGCCTGGCCTTGCACACCCCACCGAGGGGGCCTCAGCCACCAGGACAGCTTGTCATAACTCACCATGGCGTTGTCGCAAACTGCAAAATACTCCAGATATCTCGAGAGTGCGTTTTTTCCAGGAAACTCTGGCTAAAATAAAACATAAGCCACTCAGGGCTTGAGAAAGGACGCCGAAGTGATGCTGGTCTGCCTGGATACGGCATGGGCAGGCGGGCGGACAGGAACGGAGGGCTCCCTCAGCAATTCGGGTGGCTCTGGCGGGGGATCCCCGCAGTCACACGCTCCAAGAAAGCAGCGTGTCGGCGGGCCTGCGATCCGCCACTATGCACCTCCATCACAGAACCGGGTAGACGCAACTTTTATCGGTTAGGGAAGGGATTCGTCTTCACGGCGGCGTGTGCATCAGACCCTGGACTCGTCAGGAGAGCAAAGCGCAGGACGGCCTTCCGGGCTTCGGGTTCCAGCAAGGGAGCGTGACTCGGTGGAGGCGCCCCTGCTTTTCACGCACAATCACCCCAGTTTAATCCGTGACGCCCCCGGGAAGGAGCCGCTGTCTTAAGCCCTGGGGAACCACGGCCGGTTAGCAAGAAGGACCGGCCTCCCAGTTCCCGCGGTACTCCCTGGGCTCTGGGCTGGTGCCTGCAGAGATGGGCATCCCGGTGCCCAGGCCCACCTGCAGGGGCAGGTCCGCCTTGGAAGGCCGCCTGCCCCTGTGCCTGCCGCTGCCCGAGAGCCGTGCCCGGGCAGCATGGAGTCTCCGCGAGGGGAGCATGCCGGCAGGGTGCTGCAGGCCAAGGGGCCGCGCTTCACCCGGGGGGGTGCTTCCTTGCTCAGGAACTGTGGGGGGCGCTCTCCATACGCAGCAAAGGAAGCGAACTGAACCGCAAGAGAGGCATTTTTGGATTATAACCTGAAATTACGGCATCCAAAGGGGCAGTTCATTTCCAAAATCCGTATCATGAAAAAGCCTTTATCGGGCCAACCCAAAGAACACAGAAGACTGTGCGAGTTTGGGATTGTGTCCTGGAGAAAGCCGGTCTTGAGCCAAGCCGCAGGGGCTGCTCTGCAGGGAGTGGCTTTGCCTTGGTCGCACGTGGTGCTTCGCTTACGTCCTTCTCAGCGAATAGGTGCTGAAGGAGGCCTTGTCTCTCGTGTGTTAAAATTCTGTGTCAGGACACCTGTGGTAACCTGGCACGCTTTATTTGTGGGTATTTCTCACACACATGAGATGGGCTTGAATCTGCGAAGGGAGCCGCAGCCTTGAACCCGGGGGAGTTGAGCGGTGCTGCCACAGACGGGGCGTTGGGGGGGTTGCATTCACCATAAGTTGGAGGCAACCTGATGGCACAGAAGGACCCTTTCACGTGGCTCCCTGTTCACCTGAGCAGCACCCGGCTTGTTCCTGGCCCTGGCCTCCGAGGGCTTCCCCGTACGGAGCGAGCGGGGCGCGGAGACTCACATTGCTCTCTGAGAACAGGATCCCATCCTCCACAGCCGCGCCCCCGTCTGCCTCGGCCTGCTCTCGCATCGCCTGATCCTCAGGAGTGTGCTTGCAGGGCACGTGCTCCGTCGGATCCTTCCGATAAAGAAGGTGCTGGAACGTCGGGGAATTTTCCACCGGCTGGATTTCGTACTTGACGTTCCCGATCTGCACGTATCCCCTGAAAACGGAACGGCCCTTTCAGGAGCAGAGCTACAGAGCTGCGATGTTTCGCATGGACAGAATCTGCTCGAGGAGCTTTCCTGAATAAACAAGGGCAGGATGTGATTCCGGGGTGTGGTGGGGTGGGGTGGGGCAGATGGCCGCCCATTCAGCCACTGGTTTCCCCCTGAAGGGCCCCTGGGGATGCCCCTGGGCCACGCAGTAGGTGGCTTCTGGGGTAGAGAATGGGCTGCGGGTGGAAGCAGCCAGGCACCCCCTCCCCGAAGCAGCGGCCAAACTCTTTGGGGTGCACTTACACAAAGAGAAGCCTGCAGTTGCTTCAACCTTAAAGGGGACATCCTGCCCCATTTTCAAATGCCCTTGTCCAGGAAAGGCAGAGGCACCCTAAGCCACGGCTCCGGGAGGCCGAATGATGCCCCGCCAGGCATGCATTCAGCCGCCGCAGCCTGCCTCTCCCCGTGGCAGCCTCCCCCGCCGCAGTGTGGGACAAGGGGCAGCGGGCTCGGCCCGCAGGGTTGCGGTGAGCATTCCCAGCTGGCAAGCGCGGGTGAAGCACTTTGAGTGTGCGGCTCCGTGCGGAGCTGTGTCCGACCCTGGCCTGCCCCGGGGAGCGCCTGCCGGGTGGAGGGAGCTCGGCCCGGCGCGGGCCCCCAGGAGGGAGGGCTGCCGGGGCAGTGGGGCCAGGCATCCTCGGCCCCCCAGGCCAGCAGCCACCCTTCCAGCCCTCGGGTGCAGCTTACCGAAGGCCGGAGCAGGTGGAGATCACCGCGTCGGAGTCGGGCGCCCCCTCCACGTAGCCGCTGTAGTAGCAGTCCACCTGCCAGGTGCAAGCGCGCACGGCGGCCTCGTGAGAGCGGGACGAGGGGCTCGGCGGGGAGGAGGCCGCGCTGGCCACCCGCCCGGCCGGAGCGCTTGTGGGCACGCGAGGGGCGCGCGGGGCTGCCAGGGCCTGTTCCGAAGGAGGCGCCCGGCGCGGCTGCCGAGGGGCTCAGGGGCTCCGACGGGCACTGCCGCCTCTCTCTCGGCCCAGGTCGGTGTCGGACCCACGAGAGCCCGTCTCCGCCCCAGAACGGGCGAGGCCCCCCCACTCGCTTGGCAGGAGTGGGGGCGGCCCGAGCGCCGGCTGTCCTGTAGACCCTTCAAGCGGGTCATCTGGGCAGTGACCGGCCTGGAACGCTCCCACAGAGCTGGCAGTGCTCGGAGTGCAGGGCCCCTCCCCGCGCCCCGCGCCCTGTTGAACAGCTGGCTGAATGAAAAGGCCTGTGAGGTCACTGCACGCTTTAGCCAGTCACACCCCCCAAGGAGCAACGGGGATGCGCAGTGGTGCTCAGTGAGACAAACCGGCACCCTTCTGAAGGCGAGCTCTGACGTGCAGAACCTGCACCTTGCTTCCAGAAGCAGTGCTGGTCGCAAAATGTTAAACGAATTGCTTCTGAGACATCTCTTGTGTGAAATCCAGCGAATGGGCTGCTGCCAAAGGCAACTGGAAGCCCATTTACATGGATCAAACCCTTCCCGAATCCTTAACATCTCTTGCTGAGCAGAGAAGTTATTTCTTTAAATGGTGCTCTGGCTCATTTTGTGCTGTATTATGAGAACTTATCCGTCCACCAGGCTTAAAGCCAGTATTAGCCGTACATCCAGTCACTATCCAGCTCCTCCTCAGTTTTTACAAATACAGGTTTTATACTTTGTATTCTTCTCAAGATATGATGAAAATTACCTTAATATAGGGATGATCCTCATGCCGATTTCCCTTCGAATCAAAGGTGTAAATAGGCATATTCCGAAAAATAAAGGATCTGCAAGTTTGAAAAGAGTCATTAGAAACCCGGAAGGTACTCCCTAAGCGCTCGCTCATGGCTCAGCAACCGGCTGCCAACCACGGTCCATGCGGGAAGTGTCCTTGTGAGAAGCCAAATTCAGGATACCAGGCAGACAGCTCAGATCCAGGGCCCCCAAGCAACTTTTCCCAAAATGCTTTGGCTTCTGCGCACGGGCCTGGCTGGACAGCCACCCCTGAGGCGCCTCGATGCGAGGATGAGGAAGGAGGTCTCCGATTCATCAGGCACTAGGGAACGGGGGAGGGGGATGTGGCGCTGAGGCGTCTCTCCGCAAAGGCCAGATGCCTCAGGGCCACCTGGGGATTCTGGGGTGCCCAGTGACCATGGAAAGGCTGGATACGGCGAGCAAGACGAAGACCTGCGGGCACGGGGAGAACCACCATCCTCGGGGAGCTGTGACCACCCTGCAGGTTTCAGGCTTGAGCGACAGTCAGGTGGGAGCCTGCAAAGAGGCTGGGCACAGTTGCCCCTGACTTCAAAAGAGGAAACTTCCCGGAATGAGGGGACTGGTGAAGAAGAGGCCGAAGAGGGGGGTCACGAGGTTTAAATCCCTCTTGGAGATCACGCAGAACCTCTGCAATGGAGGCACAGTTAATGTGCACAGAGCAAGGGAGGAAAGGTGGCGCAACGTCCAGGAAATCCCCGGCACGGTTAATGCAGAGAGTCGAGGGAGCTCCCGGGGAGAAGGAAGCTCCCTTCCAAACATGGAGGTCTTGCTGAACGAAGAACATGCGGGCCCCCAGGCTGGCACGGGGGCTGTGCAAGCAGAGCATCAGAGAAGCAGGGAACGGTTCACGCAGTGAAGAGTATGGAGGCTGACAATAAAGAATCCTTTGAGTGTATGGAAAGAAAAATGTATGAAAGGTATGAAAAGCTTGGGAGTGCTCCTTGACCCGGAGCTTTCACTGGAAGCTCAGGTGACAGCGGTGGCGAGGAGCGCCTTCCTTCAGCTTCGGCTGATCCATCAGCTGCGCCCCTACCTGGAGTACGACTGCCTGGCGACAGTGACACACGCATTGGTGACTTCCCAACTTGACTTCTGTAACACGCTTTACGTGGGGCTTCCCCTGAAGACAGTCCGAACACTTCAATTGGTGCAAAATAGAGCTGCCAGGTTGCTGACGGGGACGGGGCGTTATGCTCACATGACTCCAGTCCTCCGTCAGCTTCACTGGCTTCCCATTGAAGCCCGGGCCCAATTCCAGGTGTTGATTATGACCTATAAAGCCCTGAATGGCTTGGGTCCTGGTTACCTGAAGGAGCGCTTACATCCATATATGCCCGCCCGCCCCCTGAGATCTGCGGCCCTTCTCCGGGAACCCTCCGTGAAGGAAATTAGGAGGATAGGTACTCGGAGGAGGGCTTTCCCTGCGGTGGCGCCCAACCTATGGAATGCGCTCCCCAGAGAGGTCCGCCTGGCGCCGTCGTTATTTGTTTTTCAGCACCAGGTGAAGACCTTTTTATTTAAACGTCATTTTAATTGTTAACAATACTTACTTATTTATCTGGCCAGGGCGACTTCTTTTCTAACTTCTTTTATATCTTTTTATTTTTTATTTATTTTATATTGATAATTTTAATTTTATATTGTTATTTTTGTATTTTATTATATTTTATTGTGTTGTAAGCCGCCCCAAGGCTTCGGCAAGGGGCAGCATAGAAATGTTCTAATAACTAACTAAATAAATAAATAATAAAAGGCAGGAAGTGGCTACAGAAACAGCTGGGCCATTGGATGCATATGGGATTCAAGGAGCCATAAGGGTGGAGGACCAGGGCACTGCCGAGACGTCGGACGAGCTGATTCCTCGGTCTCCACAGCAGAGGACGCTGGGCAGATCCCTGTCCCCGAGTTTATGCATCCTGAAAGGAATCTGAGGAATTAAGGGCAGAGAGTAGTGAGAAAAGATAAAAGTCTGAACCTCACGGACAAGCTGAAGGTCAGCAAAGCACCTGGGCCAGGTGCAATTCGTCAGAGGTGTGGCCTTCTTCCCCAAATCTTTAACGTCCCTGAAATCAGCCCTTGTGCCAGAGGAGTGGCGAACGGCCAACGCAACTCCGCTTTTAAAGAAGGGATCCGGTGGGAGCTGGGAACGCACAGAGAGGGTCGCTTGACATCTGTCCTGGGTAAAACGTTTGAAAGCACGATGAAAGACGGAGCCGGCCTAAAAACCAGCAGGGCTTCCGAGAGGGACGCCGGCTCTCGTCTCGACAACGCACTGGGGAGTCAATTAGCAGGTTGACTGTGTTCGCACGGACGTCCAGGAGGCTTTGGGCAAAGCACATCGCTATGGCTCCTGAGCTGCCACGGGATGAAAGGGGGTCCCCTGCCAGATCGCCGGCTGGCTGAAGAAGAGGAGACCGAGGGCGGGAGCAAACAGCAGCCTCTCCCGGTGGAGGGCAGTCCCTGCTCTGCTCTGCGACCAGCTCTTTTCACACTGCTCACAAGTGACTTGGAACCAGGGCGGTGAAGTGGGCAGGTAGTGAAGTGGGCAGGTTTGCTGACGGCAGCAAACGTTTTAGGGGGGTTAATTCCATGAGGGATTGTGAGGCGTGCCAAAGGGTCTCACTGAACGGAGAAAGGGCACCAAAAGGGCAACTGCAGCTCGGCGTGAGCGAGTGTGGAGCGATGCACATACGGGCAAAACCCCCCAGCTCCAGGTGGGGGCTGGTGGGGGCTGAGCTGGCAGGCAGTGAGTGAGGGGGGTGTCGGGGTGGAGGCAGAAATGCCCGCCCAGAGCGCCGCTGGCTGCCGTGAAGGCCAGCGCCAGGCGAGGCCGGATCAGGAACGGGGCGGAAGATGAAGCTGCCAGGATCCCGCTTCCTTATGGAAACGTGTGCCACCGTCGGTGGAGCACGGGCCGGTTCGGTCCCCTTGCCTGAAATGGACGGGCCTGAGCTGGAAAGAGCGCAGCGGGGGCATCCAGAGATCCGGGGGCTGGAGAGGCTCCCCCGAGGCGCGGCCACAGCAGCTGGGGCTGCAGCTTAGAAAAGGGGTGAGGAAGGGGAGACCGGGAGAGGGGCTGCCCTTTCTCACAGCCCTTGAACCCGGGGTCATCCCATGAAGCGGATGGGCGGGAGGTCTAGGACAGATCAAAGGAAGGACTTTGTCGCACAGTATATAGAAACAGAGCGAGTCAGAAGGGGTCTCCGGGGCCATCTAGTCTGACCTCCGGCACCAGCTGGGTTTCTAAGGCGCTTGCTGCCACGGGAAGTGGTGACGGCAGCCAATCTGGGAGGCTTTAAAGGGGACTGGAGAGATTCTTGAGGGGGGGGGCTCCCCGCGGATGCTGGCCGTGTGCGCCCCCCTTCCCAGAGGAGGCTGCCTGCCTGCCTGCCTGCCTGGACCAGGTGCCGAGGAGCTGGGTGGCGGGCGTCTTGCACCCATCCTGCTGGGGGACCTGTGGCCACGGCTGACCCAGCAGGGCTTTTCTCGCGTTCTCATGATCGCTTCAAACGCAGGATGGCTCGGGGGAACGAAAACGAGACTTACTTCTGGTGAAGGTGAACCACTCTGTTAACACCTTCAATTCTCAATAGATAAGCCACCTCTCTCTAAACAAGCAAAATGAAAAATAAAGTTACTTAAACATGGACCGGTGCATGCCCGTGGTTTCGCGCAAGAAAAAGCACCTGTGCACCGATGCGTGCCCACGGGTCTTTCTGCTCTCTGGCGTCGCTTCTCTGTCTTCTTTGTTTAAGTAAGAGAAGCCCAGACGTTCACCCCACTTGGGGTGCTTCAGCCAGTTAAGACTGCGGTCCAATCCCCTCTAACCCGGGAGTAACTGAACTGACTGGGACTTGCGGACTTCTGAGTAAAGTCCTACAGGATTGCAAGTCCGGCCACCAGGCGACTGGTCCATGCGTGTCGCCTGTTTGGGCCCGTTTACGGCTTGCTTCTCAATCGACCGTTGCACAAGGAGAGGAGCGATTGCAAAATTAATTGCGTGAATGAAGCTGCGCAGCGGCAGCAAGATCGGGTGAGACGGAGCGCGAGCGCTCGCAAATGCGCAGCGCAAACCAGCAGGGCCGGCCTGCATGGGGAGCCCTGTGGCCCCTCGAAAGGGGCATCCCTTGGCCGCCCCACAGCCACGGAGGGCTCCCGCCGGGGCCGCCCCTCCTCTCATCCGCCAGGCTGGGTCAGCGGTCCCGAGAGAGACGCTGCACTCGGCCTCCTGCAGAAAGACTGTGGCATTTCCGGTGGCCCAGCAGGTTGGAGCCGCTGGGAAGTGCCCCCCCCCCTCACCCCAGGGCTCCCCCATCTTGGGTCCCTCCGGATAGCTTGGACCGCAGCTCTCAGAAGCCTCAGCCAGCTTGGTCAATGGCCAGGGGTCATGGGAGCTGTAGTCCAGCATCCCAGGATGGCTCTGGACTGAGGAAGGCTGCTTAAGGGCCTGAGGGTCCCCCAGGCCCCGATCCGATCCCACTCTGGCCAGGTGGGGCCGTTTGCTTGAGCAGAAGGCAGGCAGAGCGCAAGCAAAACTACCTTCATCATGTGGCTGTCCTGCAGGCCGAAAATCTTCGGTACAATAACTTCATAGTAGAGATATTCGGAAGCTCCCGTAAAGCCTAGAGAGAAAAGCAGTTTTTGAAATGTCAGGTGCATGCCCAGAGACTTGCCCGTAACTCGCTGCCATTGGAGCCAGAAGGGCGCAGTGGTCGTCCGTCCGAGACGCAGGCATGCCCCGCTCGGTGCAGCTGGGGGCCCCGGGCTAGCGAGCCGCTCACGTGGCAATCAGCCTGGCCAGTGGTGGACTCCCGGGAGGGGCCCAGTGCTCTGCGGATCTGCTTGGGGGTGCACTGGGCACAGCTTAGTTAGAAACAGAGAAACAGAGAAACAGAGCCAGTCAGAAGGGGTCCCCCGGGCCATCTAGTCTGACCCCCAGCACCAGCCGGCTCCGCTCACGACGTACCCACCATGTGCATGTCCAGCCTATCC